ATCCCTGCCGGCCCAGAGGTAGTGCTCCAGGGGCACGGGACGGTAGGGGGTGGAGATGACGTAGATGTTCTTCTTCTTGGTGCGGCCGACCCAGTCGGCGAATTCTTTGGTGTTGGGGACGGTGGCGGAGAGGAGGATGATGTTGACGTGGTCGGGGAGCATTATGATGACTTCTTCCCAGACGACACCTCGCTAAGAAATATGTTAATGGTGTGGGAAGAAGGGAGGATGGGGGACGTACCTCGGCATCGTTGACGTAGTGGACTTCGTCAAAGATGACAAATTCTACATCTCGAATCAAGTCGGCGCCTTTGTACAGCATGCTTCTCAGAATTTCAGTAGTCATCTACAACCGGTCAGTCACAGTCCAAGATTTTGTAGAGGGAGGGACTGACGATGAGACAGCTGCCCTCGGCATTGATCTGCACATCACCCGTCAAGATACCGACAGTAGCAGGGTCAAAGGTCGTTTTGAAATCTCTGAATTTCTGATTTGAGAGAGCCTTTATGGGGGACGTATAGATAGCCCTAAACCATCATCAGCCACTTGTCAAACCAATTCAATGCCACTCACTTGGTCATATGCTTGGCCGCCAGTGCGATAGCATACTCTGCCACAACGGTCTTTCCCGCTGAAGTATGAGCTGCCACAAATACACTGTCGCCCATTTCCAGTCGGTAGACGGCTTCTTTTTGAAAGTTGTCCAATTCGAAGGGGTATTCTCGGGCCATCTCGGGGACGAGTTCATTAAACTGGAGGGTGATTTAGATGGGACATGTATGATTTAATAAATGACTAACGTTGAGGAGTTTCTCGTTGACATCGATGACATGGGCCCATTCCTTCTTGGCGGCAGTTTTTAAAGCCTTCTTTGCTGGTGGAGGTGCAGGAAGGCGCTACAAGTCGTCAGTATCCGTCTCGCTTCCAAGAGACAGCACTCACGCCCAAGGGAAGAAGGTCGTCAATGTTTTTGTCAGAAGCCTTGACCTGGGCACTTGCTTCGATCCCATCGATATCTCGATCTTTGTCGCCCAAGCGTGAAACGGCAAGCTGAGGCTCAAACTCGCCATCCCTTCGCCGACGTTTGGCTTTGGCTGTAATTTGATGTTGGCCAAGCATCTCGATGAGGAACTCTTCAGCTGTTTATGTATAAGCACCGACTTTACGAGCAGTTCAAGGGCAGCTCACCTCCATCGAGCTTTACACCTCTCTTCAGACCAGGCGCACGACTCTTGAACACTCCATCCTCCTCTTCCTCCGACTCTTCTTCTTCTTCTTCAGACCTCGCTGCTGTTTCCAGCCCTCCAGGAAGGAAGGGCGCATAAGAGCCTTTTCCTCTCACAAAGTTCTGCAAAGACCCCGGAGCTCGGGTGGTCGATGATGACAGCGAAGGGTGAGCTGGAGGTTTCGGCATAAGGGCCTCGCGCCAGTTCGTAAACTCCCCATCTATCCCACGAAATGAAGGAGCGACCGAGTGCGTCTGATACAGTGGAGAGAGCGTTAAAGGCGGAAGGGGAAGATCGATAGGTGGTTGTCTGAATCGATGCGTTAGCTAGCGATCGTCCATTTGTTTATGAAGCGTACACCTGCCACCGCCCCAAGTCCGAGCCTTCTATCCCCTTCACAGGCGCCAACACTTCCTTCTCCAGGATTCCAAGAGCTTGCGCTTTGCTAAGTGGACCATCGATGCCGAGTGAGGCGGCAAGATCGTCTGTTGGGATAGCATCGGGGGCTGAGGGGTTGGCTGCTGTTTTGAGGAGCTCGAGGAAGAGGGCGTGCTCGTCTGCAGCACCGTCTTGTAGAGCCATGCTGGTATACCTCTATTTCACGCTGAAAACAATTGCAAAAGATATAGGTCAGTCGTCGTGAAGACAGACGTCAAGTCGGCAGCATCATGATCGAAGAGTGGAGGTTTTACGTAACCACCGTATCTCCTCTTGCATTCCATCGTCGTCTGATTAAGTTCCATCTCTCCCCTCATCTTCCCCCATCCCAACACGATGTCCTCAAGCACCGCCGTCGCCCCCAAGCGAAAGCTTAGGCCCGCCAGAAAACAGGTCGCCCCGGATCAAGTCGACAAGAGCGAGGGGTACCAAGCTGGTCGAGAGTACAGTACGTCTTCTTCGCGTCTTTCGTTTGGTTCGCGCTGATGGGGTTGTAGATGTGTGGTATAACAAGTGGGCGGGAGGAGATAGAGAGGATGCTCTTGCCAAGTACGCTCCACTCTTCGCTGATGAGCATGATGACTGACTAGCGGCAACAGCAAAGTGCATTCTCAAACCAGATGTGTGATCTCGAGGGATTCGGGGTATACAAGAGCGGATGCTACGGGTAACAAGTTTTGCTGCTTGTTCTTTGCTAGAGGATGCTGTCCCTATGGGTAAGATCCGTTCAAGCTCATTTTGTGGATTGAGAATTGCCGCTGATATCGCGCAGGTACGAATGTCAATACCTCCATCGCCTTCCCCTTCCATCACGTACGCCTCCCTCCCCCAAAAAGTCCCCTTCTCCATACTGACATGACCTATACAGATCAACTCGTAGACCACTCCCGCGACTGCTTCGGCCGCGAAAAACACGCCGAATATCGAGACGACATGGGCGGCGTCGGCACCTTCAACCGTCAAAACCGAACATTATACATTGGCAAAATCGCAGAGCACCCGGATAAGAAACAGATGGAGGAGACGCTGTTGAGGCATTTCGGAGAGTTTGGCAAGATCGTGAAATGTACGTCCTTCTTGTCCTTCTTGTTCGTCAGATGGAGCCAACGGGGTACTAGGGAATATCTTGTACGGCCGTGGAGTCGGCTTTGTGACATTTGAAACAGACCACCAAGCGTCGTTCGCCAAGGAAGCTATGGCAAACCAGTCTATGGATGGGGATGAGATCCTCAACGTCAGGTACGTCTTCTCCCTCCTCCTCTCCTCCTCCTCCTCTTCCCCGGCCTCTTGCCCTTTGGCTTGGATGAAGGTTGACTTTGGCTCAGATGGGCAACAGAAGACCCCAACCCCGGCGAAAAAGTCGCCGAAGCCCAACGTATCGAAGAAATCGGCCAAAAAGCTATCGCCGGCATGCTCGATGATGAGCTTGTCGAAGCTACCCAGACCATCCGCGCTCTTGAGGATGGGGATGTGGAGGATCTGTATGAGATTGAAGCTTCTGCCGATCACACTCAAAATGGAGAAGGAGGGGAAGGGGAAGGGGAGGGAGAGGAGGGGAGACCGGCAAAGAGGGGCAAGACGGACGGGTTCTTTGGGGCGGATGCGCTGGATAATATCAAATTCTACGCCGACCTCGCTCGGAAGCAGGCGGAAGAGAGGGTCAAGGAGAGGAAGGTGCCAGAGAAGAAGGTGGGGATGGCGTTATTGGGCGGGTATGGGAGTGGGGATGAGAGCGATTAGAGGTGTCAATTTGTGAGTTTTGGTAGTGATGCTGTGGTAAGAGTTGGCTGATGTTTGAATAGGTACTACAGTAGATGCATGGAATCTATTCACAGACTCGACCAGCATTGGCTCTGCAAGATGATTCTGTCTCCTTGGCAAGACCATATCAACGACAGTCGCAATCTGTGGCTCCTACTGTGGTTCCCATACTAATCTCTTGAAGCGCTGCCATGCCTTAAAGCATATCTAACCAAAAGTCGCATTATATGAGTACCCATTTTCTGTCCAAGCTACAATATCAACTCTTTCTACTTAAGACCGGATCACCTCGCCCTCAGTCTATTAGCCCACTTCCCACCCCCAGCTCCTACTCCCGCCATACCGCCCCCACCACCTCCTTCGCCTGCCCCTGCTGCCCCTGCCCCAGGGACCCTGCTTCCCAAAACCGCATTTACAGGCTCACTCATCTTCGGTACCCCCGGCACACTCGGTACGTCCGGTACACTCGGACTGATCATCCCTTTCCTCCCCCTCCCCGCTGGCGCAGGCGCCAACCCTCCCCTCGGAATCACCGGTCTATTCCTCGGGTCTGTTACGTCCAGGTAGACGGACGACGTTTTGGCCGTTTCGGGGACGCTTGGGATGGCTGGTGGTGTTTGGGGACGGGGACCGGGGAGCGGGATTTCGAGGTCGTCGGCAGATGGATTGGATGGTTGGGCCTGGGGGTGGGCGGGTTGGCGTTGGAACCAGGCCATTATACCTTGTCCTAGTCCTTGGCTTTGGTCTTGGCCGTGTGCCGGAGGCTGGGGCTGGGGCTCGGCTTGGGCTTGAGCTGGAGGCGGGGGTATCGGTATCGTGCCCTGTCTTCTCGTCGCCGGTGACCTTCCCGATCCCGAACTGGAACCAGAGGCGGAGTTGCCAAGGAGCTGCGAGATCTCATCCCCCAGCTCTCCCGTATCCTTCCTCCCCTCTCTCGGGCCTGGGCGGATGGTATCAATAGTATGATTCTTTGGCGGATAGAGTTGTCTTGCATTCATATTCTGCGAAGGGTAAGATGGAGGGGGGCGGGCGAGGGTGTCGAGAGATCCACCAGCGCGAAAGGCCGATTGACGATTTTGCCGATTTTGTTGCTGACGTTGACGTTCGCGGTTGCGGTTGCGGTCGGGTGGGACTGGAAGGGTACTGGATGTTGAAGAGGAATGGTTTGTACTTCTGTTTGCTGCCGGGATCAGAAGCTCTGCTGACGCCCTTCATCAGTATCAAACCCTTTCGAAACAGAGCAAGACTCACCACTCCCTTTCCCCAACCCACTCTCCCATTTCTTCTCCTCCTCAATCTCCTTATTCGCCTCTTTCACCTTGTCCCTCCTCGCCTTCTCCAGCCTCTCTTCCTCCTCGAGCTGTTTCTTCAACTTGACTTTTGCTTCGACATACTTGAGCCTCACCATAGAGTTGTAAGACGAAAAGACGGAATCACGGAAACTGCGTGGCGGGTTTGGAGCAGGTTCCTGGGGTGGTGGACCTCGAGCTGGAGGAGGGTCGTAATACCGGTCGTCTCTATATGGATCGCGATACCGATGATGTCGGCGGGGGTAATACGTCTCGTCAGACCAGTCCGTTTCTGTATCGCTATACCGCCTTCGCCTATGTCTGTAACGGTCGCGTCTGCTCTGTCTTGCTCTGTATCTTCTTCGCCGTGTCCTTGAAGGGTAGATGGTGCCCCCGTCTGAAACAGAATCATCACTCTCACTCCCACTCTCACTCCACTCTTCGCTCTCATCTTCACTCTCCTCACTCTCTTCTCTCTTTTTCCTCCCTTTACCCCTCTCTTTCTTCCCCCTACCTTTGCCTTTCATAGCTCTCATCTTCTCCTCCAACTTCCTCTCCTTATCCCCCTCTATCCTCGCCTTCTCCCGCTCCTCAATCTCCTTCTTCTTTTCCACATCCGCTCGGACCTTTTTGCGGTGCCGCCACCAGAGCCAGACACCTACTGAAACAGCGAGCACGGAACCGAGGATGAGCGCCAGGAGCTGCCACCATGATAGATGGGTCGATGCCTCGGCTTGGGCGAGGATACTGCTGGATGTGGCTTCTCCTGCGGAAGAGGTGGGGGTGGAAGAGGAGGTTACGGTGACGTAGACTCGGGGGGAGAGGGCTCTGCCGGAGAGATTGGACTTTGGGGGCTTTGGGGTGTGGGTGGGAGTGGGATGGTTGAGGCTGAGGGGAGGCATTGATACGCATCGTGGGTCCGTCCTTCTTCAGTCCATACCCATCGATATCTTTGGCCGCGCAAACAAACTGGAGTGATGGTACCTGTAATATAGACAATGACAGTGACAACCCATGCATACGATCACATACCCCGATCAATCTCTGCACAGTCATACTAGCGCCGTGGCCGCTCCTTTCCACGGACGGAGATGAAAGGAACGAGGTACAAACAAGGAGAAGGGAGGGCCGACGCGTCTCCCGGTGGCGACTGCGTCGCTCTCTGACGCATTTCAGCTGGGGGGGCAGCGTGCGCCGAATGCGATCACAAGGGAACGCCGAGGATATGCTGTACATGGCGATCCGTGTGCACCTGGTGACGCGGCGGGTGAAGGGCTGAGAGAGTCATAAAGGAAATGCATTCTCATTCTTCTCTCCAATCATCCCTCTCGCCCACATCCCGAAACTATGACTTCCATCAGCCTCCGTCCAGCCCACTTTGCCCCCGACCCTATCCTCGACTCGCATCCCACCATGAAAAACGCTTCCCCCTTCCAGACGACGCTCTACCTCAAACACCTCCCGCCGAGCATCAAGCCAAAGCATTTCGACCTCATCCTGGGGCAGCCGCCGAGGAGGGATGGGAGTAAAGGGCGGAAACGCGAGACGGGCATCAAAATGTAGGTAGTTTTGGGTTTTGTGGCGTCGAGCCATGCGGTATCAGACATGGAACATGGAACATGGGGCTGACGCGTGGTGATAGGGTACAGATATACACTATCCCCGCCCACTCTTCACCTGCCCCTTCCCCATCCACACGACATACGTCTCCCCTCCCTCTCGTCCAGCGAGGCGCCAGCACCCTGCCTGCTGTACTTCGCGCCATACTCTGTCTCTCTTCCCGCCCCGACTCGGATAGGTCTCAGACCCCGCCCGTTGATGCGCTGTCAAAAGTCGACAAGTCGAGAGAAAGGAGAGTGTCGGACGAGTCGCATCATGAAGTCATAAGGCGGCGGAGTACAGGTGGGGAGTCGGGGATCGAAGTCATTGAGGGGCCAGACTATGGTCGCCCTTCGTCCAGCTTTGGAGAGCTGGAAAGGATAACAGAGGAAGAAGTCGTCGATCCCTATGGCGACGACGCTGAAGAGCTGGAAGGCGAAACACCAGCCGTTGCGAGGGAGAATGACGAGAACCAAGGTTTCCAAGATTCAGAAAAGGAAGAGGAAGAAGGGGAGATTGTAGCGTATATTCATTTTTGTTGTGACAATCATTGTAAGTCTCCTCTTCATACCTCTGTTGAAAGAGGGGCTGACGTCATGCGTTAGTGTACAGTGCTAAACGCATCCTGGGGCACCTCACCATCGACGGCTATCGGCCCACGATCAGTACCAAACGGTTCGATTCTGGTCTCGTCAAGCGTTGGGCAGGGCCAATCTCTGGTGGGTCCAAAGAGAAATAGAATAGGTGGTATGGGAAGAGATAAAACAGGGTCAGAGTCAAATAATATCGAGCGTATAATCTGGACGCCGTCAGTCCAAGGAGGAAAAAGCGAGCGAGCTTTGTTGTATCTATAATCTTAACGAATGTGTAGTCGGTCCCCATTTAGATCCTCATACAATTGTAGTATATACTATATCTCTAGTACAGTAGCCAAACATCATTCAGGCCATGCACATCATCAAACATTTCGCCCAACTACGTGGACAGACTTTTACGGGCGGCGGCCGAGCAGCCTCCACTCTATTTACGTAAACCATAAAGTCGCGCTCGACGCGTCGTCCGTGCTGATAACTCTTTCGAATCGTGCAAAATTATTCAAACTGCATTGCTATAGCCCTCTCCAGCTCATCAACATCTCCATACCTACCCCACGGTCCAAATAACTCTTTCCAAAAATGCCCCGCTCCCCATCCCCAACCCTATCCGACTCGGAACTCCTCGATTCCATCGCCGACTCATTCGACTATGCTGCCCACCGCGAAGCCCGCATGGAAGCCCTCGCACAACAGGTCAAAGCCGTCAAGAACTTGAGAGAAACGGGGGATGGAGAGTATGGAAGGGTGGTGGAGTATAAGGAGGAGAAGGGTATGATTGAGCGGATGGCGTGAGTTGTTCTCAGTTCTTTGTATGGCAGTGACAAGTTGGATGAGGCTAATGAGATTGGGGTGTAGGAAGGAAAAGTACTGTCTGATCAACTTTTTCCATCCAGACTTTAAGCGCTGTGAGATCATGGACCGCAAACTCACCGTCAGTCCCACCTTCCTCCCCCATTATACCCCCTTGTACAACGCCGCTGACCTTGTCAATCTCTCACAGGAACTCGCCCCATCACACCCCCACACCCTCTTCCTAAAAGCATCAGTCGACAACGTCCCGTTTTTGGTCAGCAAGATGGCTATCAAGGTGTTGCCTTGCGTTATGTGTTATGTCGATGGACGGGCTGTTGACCGGTATGTCCCCTTTATCCTATCTTATTCTTCTCCTTTTTCCTGAGAAGGAGGAGGAGGAGTAGAAGAGGGCTGCGAGAGTGATGCGGTGCTGATGAAAGGGGTGCTGTAGGTTGATAGGGTTTGAAGAATTGGGACAGACAGATAATTTCTCGACAAAAGCGCTTGAATTTAGATTACAACAGTCTGGTACGTTTTCTCCCCCTCCCCCTCTCCCCTCTCCCCTTTCCCCTTTCCCTTCCTTCCCCGCCTGTTGGAAGTGCTGATACATAAGCCCAAACAGGCGTCTTTCCCCGAAATACAAGTCTCTCAGCAAACCTCAACCCCCTCCTCGTCGGCAAGGGCCGCCAAGCCAACGGAAAGGGATCTGATTCGGAAGACTCCGAGGATGAGGATGAACGGAGACGGACGCAGCAGGGGAGAGGTAGGGGTGGGATCCGGACTGGGATGGCTAGTAAAGGGGATAGTGATGATGATGATTGGTAAAACACCTCTCAACCCTTCGTCTAGGTATGATGTTTGAAGAAAAGGGAAGAGGGGTTTAGTTTGCTAATAATAGTAGCAGGGCTCTGTACTTTTACATGTATACATCTCCCATGCCTGCCCATGCTCATACTATGCTATGCTTCACCGGAAGAGGCGTAGTCCCACGATCACAAATCCCTGCGCACCAACCAAGACTTACCGCCATCCAACTTGATTCCCATTCGATGGCACAGCAACTCCACTCCCCTACTAACCAATACGAGACACGTCTCAGCCCCTAGCCTCATCCTTCATCTCTGCCATCCCTTTCATTCTCCCGTCTGTTGAAGTCCTTTATGGGATGTTACCTCCTTTACGCTCTAGCCTCATCTACTGGGTAGGTCGTCATCGACAATGCAGTTTGAAGAGAATGTTACTTATTCTAAAGGTATATCGTTACACGACCAGCTTTTCTGACCTCTCTTTCAATTATTCATTTTCGCTCGCTCGTCTAGTTGTTTTCGTGTTGATCACGAGAAACCCATCTTCGACTTTACGCACCCAACTACCTCACGCTCTTTGCCCCTTGCCCCTTGCCCTCTGCCCCTGCCCCCCGCTTTCTTACCACTCTTGTTCCAAACATTCAAATATGGCACCGATCCTATACACCCTCCTCCTCAATAGGGCCGACTCTGATTCTTCCTCTGACTCTACTGACTCTTCGACCGACTCTTCGACTGACTCGTCTGACAGTTCCGACAGCTCCAGTTCCAGTTCCAGTGGGAGTTTCTTGGATGAACATGGGAAAGAGATATACAGTACGTCCCCTTCCCCCTTCTTCCCCTTCCCCCTTCTTCCCCTTCCCCCTTCTTCCCCTTCCCCCTTCTTCCCCTTCCCCCTTCTTCCCCTTCCCCCTTCTTCCCCTTCCCCCTTCTTCCCCTTCCCCCTTCTTCCCCTTCCCCCTTCTTCCCCTTCCCCCTTCTTCCCCTTCCCCCTTCTTCCCCTTCCCCCTTCTTCCCCTTCCCCCTTCTTCCCCTTCCCCCTTCTTCCCCTTCCCCCTTCTTCCCCTTCCCCCTTCTTCCCCTTCCCCCTTCTTCCCCTTCCCCCTTCTTCCCCTTCCCCCTTCTTCCCCTTCCCCCTTCTTCCCCTTCCCCCTTCTTCCCCTTCCCCCTTCTTCCCCTTCTCCCTCTTCCCCATTCTTCTCCTCCTCTCACCTCACCTCCATGAAATCACAGAAACTCCCCGCTGACACGAAAACAAACAACAGTCGCCCTAGCAATCATATCCCTCCTCCTCCTCGCCCTCCTCATCTTTTTCTACTCGAAACACCGCCTCGCCTTCCCGCCGTTCAACCAGAAACGATGCGCCGTCTGCAAACACGGTGTACCCAAGTCACAGAAGGTTGATGAAGACTACTTTAAGAACGACGGAGGCAAGGGGTGGATTTGCAGGAAGTGCCAGGAAGAGAGGGAGGAGGAAGAGCTGGAGGAGGAGATGGAGAGAGAAGGTCTTGGTTCTGGTGAGAAGAGTAAGGGGAAGAGTGAAGGCGGGAGGAGTAAGGGCAGGAGGGATGAAGAGGGGGAAAGCAAGCGGGAGAAGGAGGGGAAAGGTGGTAAGAGGGGAGAGAGGGAAGAGAGGGGAGAGAAAGGTAGAGGGCAGCGCGAGGCAAAGAATTCGCGTGTGGAGAGGGAAGAAAACGAAGACTTGCAATCCCCCCCTCCGAAAAACGACCGCCGACCCTCCAAGGCAAGGGAAGAGAAGAGCCGAAAGGCCAAAGTGGAGAGTGATAGCGAGAGTGATTATTAGAGTTAGCTATGCATTTGATATACAACAACACCCCTTTTCTGAAAGACGCTGAAGACGCTGAAAGACGCTGAAAGACACGTTACTCGTCGTCGTCGGAAGCGTCAGAAGCAGCGTCACCGCCGCCAAAGATGATCCCACCCCCATCATTCTCCTGCCCCTTCCTCTCATCCCTCTCCTCCTGCCGCACCTTGTTGCGCGCTTCAATCTTGGCGATAATCTTTTCGGCAGTGTTGAAGATGCCTTGGGTGGCGGCGCCGCAGGCGTAGCATTTGGGGGATTTTTGGAATCGTTTTGTTGCGCACCTGCAATCGCTGTTAGTATGTTGACTTGGAAGAAAGAAGGAGGGACTTGCGCCATGCAGAAATAGTGCCCACAGCGGGTGACGACGGGGACTGTGAATGGTTTCCGACAGATCAAACACGCAAACGGCACCTCCTCATCCTCATCCTCTTCTTCCACTTGCGCTCTCCCTCCCCCCTCTTCCGCCATCTTATCCAACTGCCACCCTGCCAAATAATCCCCCCGATCATGCATAAACTTGCAACTATCCCCATACCCACAGAACCCCGTCTCCTTGTAGTCTTTACACACGTCGGGCTGGTAGTCCATGAGGGTGATGGTGCGTACGTGGGAGGTGGCTTTGATGGGGCCGGACTTCATCTTTTTGTCGAGGGTTTCGCGGGTCTTGTTGATGGTGGGGAGGTAGTTTGAGGCGCCGCGGTAGATGCCGTCGTCAATGTCGCCGTCCTGCTTCTTTGTCAGTGTCATCACTTGGGGAGGGGGAGGGGGGCGTACTTCGTTGAGGCGGACCTTCTTCTCTGGTACGGGCTCGTTCTCGAGATCCCAATCGTTCGCCCGGGTCACAAGCTCATCAGCCCGCTTCGTCAACCCTTCGTCCGCGCGATAACCAAACTCGTCCAGCCCATTCTCGTCGTCCGCGACGTTATCCCCCGCTTGCACGTCTCGCCGCCGCTTCGTCCCTTGCACGAGGGGGTTGGCGATGGATTTTGTCTGGGTGCGTACGACGGAGGAGGGTTCGTCGGCGTCTGGGGGGGTGGGGGAGCGTTTGCGGGACTGGGCAGGGCGGCGTGAGGGGCCTTTTTTGAATTGGACGTTGGGCATCGTGACACTCGGTGGATGATGCTGATTCATGCAACAACAACAGAGATATAGATAGGGCGGTGGGCGCCGCACGGACATCGCCGCCCGCTTGAAGGGAAAGCGCCACGCTTAGTAACGCCGTATCACCGCTCTGCATCGTCTCAAACATCCTTGGAGGCAGTGGCGACGAGGGCAGCGTGGAATCCAACAAATCCCCCAAGACCCCCCCCTTGCAGCCCACAGCGCCGCACCCCGCCACGCCATACACCCCGCCCCCTTTTTCCCCCGCCGAAAAAGCTGCAAAACCCGCCCCGCCCCCCGCCGCCACACGCGCGGGATTGTGAGATATCCCCTTGAATCCCCGCTTCACCGCAGAGAGAGCCACATCCCTTGTCCTCTCCTAACGCCGAGTCACACAACCTCCACCGCAGACGTCCACCCCAAGTAAGCCATGAACGAGGACCAGCAGGCAGACAACGACGCACTCGCATCTGCCGTCGCCGCCGCAGAGGCTGCAGAGGCGCACCAGCTCAGCCTGGAGCACCCGCACCACTTTCACCATACCCTCCAGCAGCCCGACTTTGGCCAGCACAAGGAGGGGGACGAGCATGAGCTCGGCGTGCATGGGCTGAGTATACCGAGTGTGGATGATCATCACCGGCATCATCTTGATCAGCATGGGGAGCTGGACCTGCAGAACCTCGGGGGGATGGGCACGCCGGGGGATATGGGCGGGCTGGATATGGGCGATATGGGGGAGCAGCAGCATGAAGTGTATTCTTCCGGCAGACCGCCCAGTATTCGAAAGGGTGAGCTACCTCTCATAGACTTATACATGGACCCAAGCTAACTAAACGTAGCGTGCGATCTGTGCCATGCGGCGAAACAAAAATGTTCAGGCGACCGCCCCTCATGTACGCGCTGCTCCGCCGGCGGCTGGCCCTGCAACTACGCCCCGCGCCAGCGCCGCCGTACCGTCCCCAAAGACCAAAAGCATCACCACCACCACCACCAGCACAACCACCACGCCGCGGCGCACATCCACCATGCGATGGACATGCAGCAGCACCAGCCGATGCCGCAGAGCAAGAAACGCAAGCTGACGCGAGATGCGATCCCGAGCTTTGGGGGGGATGGGATGGATATGAAGATGGCGATGGGGCTTGCGATGGATATGGGGATGGGGGTGGAGGAGGAGAATGAAGAGTTGCAGACCATGACGGATGAGCAAATGGTGCGTCAACCGGGTTTGATCGTGGGATGACACTGACGTTTTACAGCTCGAGAGCATTGCGATCGATGGATACCTGTCCGACCTCCCGCTCGCCAGTTTCGTACACAACCTCCCCTACTCCACCTCCCCGGACCACGTGTTCCCCGACGACTTTCCCTCGGCCTCCTCCGACCCCTTCCCCACCGCAGACATGGACCAACACACCACCTCCGCCCTGCGCGACGCCATCTTCTCCCTCAACGAGTCTTCTGCCGCCGGTACAGGCCAAGAAGGCGAAGGCAACGGCGAGCACGGCGAATCCGGCGAGACCGGTGAAGGCGAGCAGCTGGATCCGCACCTCGCCCTGCTGGACCTGTCGAATATGAATGGCGAGAACGAAGCTGCCGAGGGGCACGATCCCACTTCCGGCCTCAACCTCGGCGACTTTACGCCCCAGGGATGCAATCACCGTCAACTCGTACCCCACATTCTCTCGCTCCTCACCCAACACACGCTCGACCCGAAACAGGGTTCAAATACGCCGTTGACGCTGGCAGTGTTTGCGCCTCTGGCACGGTCGTTGCGGTTGTTCAACTCGCTCTCCATCTGTCCCACGTGCCTCTCTTCTCCGAGGGAAACACTCCCCCAACTAAGCCTCCTCTCCCGCACCACCACCCTCCTCACATTCCCCCACCCCCCAATCCCCTCTTCCTCCCTCGGCTCTTCCGCCCAGATCACGATCCACGGCGCGCGCATCTCCGGCACCGGCCTGTCCGAAGCGATCGAGCAGCATATCGTCGGCGTCGTGTGGGACTCGTGGCGCGCGAGTGTGCGGGAGGTGTTCCATGCGCTGGATAAGAAGGCGCAGGAGGTGATCACGGCGAGTGCGCATGCGGCGATGCATCCTGGGGAGGGGCAGGCGGTGGGGAGTTTGGAGAAGCAGAGGGCGGGGTTGATTTTTCAGGCGGTGTCGAGGTTGGTTACTGCTATGGATGAGGTGGAGGGGAATTAGCGTGGGCGAGCGAGCGTTAGCGAGTGCGTGAGTGGGTGGGCGAGCGTTAGCGAGCGAGCGTTAGCGAGCGAGTGAGTGAGTGAGTGAGTGGGCGAGGGGGTGGGCGAGGGGGTGGGTGGGCAAGTGAATGAGGAGTCCATAAAAAACCGTTGTTGCTATTTGTACAAAAGTATTCCAAGTATCTTTTCTCCGTCTAGTCCGTCTTCATTTCTTCTGGTCTTTTCTTCTCTCAATACATATATCTTCTTTCCATCAAAACCTTTCGCGCCATAGTGTGTAACAGTTATCCAAGCTTTGATGTTTGATAAGCCACTTTTTTTTCTACTTTTGCTTGGGTTGGATTGAAAGTTTTTATGTATACGTGTTGTGTGCATGATCGAAGCTCTTGATTACCTCTTGGCAGTATGACTGAAGCAGAGTAGTTGCCAGTGAATGCCCGAATCGGACCTGACGTACAGCAACCATGCAAAACATCAAAGGATCGTTTACTCGAGCAGGCTTGACGTTATGGCAAGTCTACGAGTACCGTATCAAAAGAAGGGCAGCACCATCATTCAACCTTCCTTTGAGCAACCCTCCACTCATACCCACATCTCATCTCTAGCAACATTGCATCGAACATCCATCTTCCCCTCATTACATCAGCTTTTCAGCAGTACAATAAAAAGCAAGCTGATGCCTACAATTTGGGATGTCGGCAACAGAAAAAGAAGAAGCCACTGCGACAACAGCAACAACAGCTGGTACTGCTGCTGCTGCTGATGACCGATACAGGTTCGTCTCTAGGCGCGAGCGTGGCGAGTACGGCGGCGGGGATGGATACTTGGGAGATTGTTGGTATGTCGGCCCTCTTGATCATCACTCACTCACTTCCTTCCTCGGTTGTTTGGTGGCAGATGGATGGAAGATGAGGGCTTTGGCTGACCTTTTTTCGTTTGTGGGGGAATAGTGATTGCCATATTTTGCTTGATTGGAGTAGGATCCGCGATCTATTTCGTTTATTGGTGGATCAAGAAGAGGAAGAGGAATAAAGCAAAGGCGTTGGAGGGTTCGGGGGAGGCTGCTGCTGGGAAAGCGTAGTGAAAGAGCGGAGTGGAGTGGAGTGTAATGTGGGTAAAGCGAGGGTTTTGGAAAGACGTTTTGTACTCGTACTCTTGTAACATACAGATACATGCTCTCGATGGCAACGATATAGATTATGATCACAACATGTAACGGTCCTGCTCCCTTCGTCATACTTTGGTTCGTTGATCGCTGTAGAGGCGATTAGCTAGACAACTTGTCGAGAAGATGCCTGAGCAACAAAGTTAGAAGTCGAGTCAGAACTTGGCATGCTTTCCGTAACTCACTGATAATGCTCGTGCATCTGTATCATTTCATTAGCGTCTTGGACAACATATAGCTTATTTGGGGATTGTACCTTTTGCCGGTCAACTTTGAGGTCTGGCGAGAAAGAGCTCATAGTCATCGCCGCTTCGCACCATTGCTTGGCTTGTTGCACGCGAGAAGAACTGCGTTCGGCAGGTTAGTCTGCTATCTCATTAGCAGGGGAAGCCATACCTGAACCATTCCAATCCCCGGTTCCATGCAGTCGCAACTAACCAATGCGCTTCGTCCAGTGGGTATGCCTGCGCCGGTAGTCAGCATCGAGTCGTTGATGTAAGAGGACTTACA